AGCCAAAGAACAATTAGATTGAAATAGAGGCACAAAGACCATCCAAGAAACAAAAAGAAAAAGGAATACCTTCATTTTATCTTCAAGCTTCTCACACAGGACTCTGTTGAGTTCCTGTACATCATGTTGCATGAAAGAATCATATGTGTCCCAACCAAAAGATTTTGTCAACTCCTTTGTTGCAACACTGGTGTCATTATATTGAAGCTTATAGAATAAACTTTGAAGTGCCAAAGGAATACTTCCTGTAGGCATGTCATTCTCAGTTGTTGGCATGTGGTAGACTGCCTAAATATATCAAATGAAAAATGAGATGTCTCTCCCCACTTGAAATACAGATTAAAACCATAGTGAGCACACAATAAGAAAATATGAAACAGATTAGACTCCTTACCTTTCTGAAATATGGTATATGGTACAAGGTTTGCAGTAAAGAATTCATATAACAAGTTGCACCTTGGTTCTTAAGTCCAACATAACCAGTCTCCTTCTTTGAATCATAAGACCAATAATCCTGAATCTTACGTACAGCAACCTCAGCTTCAACAATGACTGTATCATTCACAAGATAGCCTCTACCAGGGTCATAGAGATCACTTAGAGGCATAAAGGATGTGAAACCCCAATCACTCTCTCTTGCATTGAATTGATGCTGTGTGTCTGTAATATGTCAAGAAAACAGTGAAGCATTAAAACAACATAAATTTTTTATAGCACTCAAAGCTTGACCACAAAATGTTTGGAAGGACATGAATAAAGCCATTTCTGCATCACAGAAATGATTTTTTTTTTTTTCCCCTTATATGAACTTAATGAAACTATACAAAACTCAGACTTCATTCAATGAGAGAACTAAAAATAATCATCCAAACAAGAAGCAACCAAGCATTTTGCTTCTAAATGCATTACATGTACTTGCAAGCATCACCACAGTACAGACAAGTTTTCCCTGCACTAATTATCTAAACTCATGTTTAAAGGATTAGTTGTTCATTCACAAAGCTGAGTAAGTTAGCATAGAGCAAAAAAGGATGATAGATCAACTTAACAACAAAATGAAATAAATGAGAACCAAGCACATTAAAAGCAAATTCATTTGAAACCCAACTGCTACGGTAAATTTCCTTCTAAATTTAAGAAATTAAGACCACCTGCTGCAGAATGGCTTTACCACTTTATTCAGAAAAGACATTCTGGGAGAAATTTTCAAGAGAAAAAGGCCCAAAGGTATGCAGTGAACTTCATTTTAGTTATATACATCATCTAAACAGTAAAATGGAAAATGTATCGATACAAATTTACTAAGTGAACTATAGTTTGAATTTATGAAGAATATGCTAATTCATCGGCAAGTATAGAGTTTGGTACCATGACAGTTTTTTCATATCCTGTTAAGATTTGGAAGGTAATCAATGTTAAACGAAAATCCGCAAGAAACCCCAATTTCCTCCGTGGTTAGATCTTTGCACAACCAAGAAAGAAAAAGCATAGCTTTAAATTCCCTTGCTTTCCTTTAAGTCCCCTTGTTCTCAAACGAGTCAAAACACAAAACAAAACAATGTCAAAGGCTTAAATGTCATACTCAGTCACAACCAAATGAAAGCATGCCATGCAAAAGAAATTCAATATGCAATAAGCACCACCTAAAACCATACATACTACTGTATTAGAATAAAAAAGAAGCATTTGCATAAAAAAGTTCATTTTCAAACTCACAATTAGAAAAAATAATGAACTTAAAAGTAGAAATGTTGCAACAACAGGAAGAGTTTGAAAGTACCCTTTCTTATGGAATATTTTGGATGAATTTGATTAACAACGGCCAAGCTAAACTGTGCATATCTACTCCAGCCATAAGGCAACGTAGTAGAGTCTGCAACGTCTAAATACATGGACAAGTGATCCACATTGTTTCCTTTTGGGAAAATAAGAATCCGCCTGCCAAAAGTCACCGAGGAACAACATAGAGCAGCAAGCCAAATTAAATTCATGGCAGTAAACAATAAGCTTCAATGAAGGAAAGTAAAGAATGTCACTTACCATTTAAAACCACCCACAATGAATATGTCAGAATAATGCTTCTTGGCGTTTAACCTAGAAAAATTCTCATTTGTCCATGTGAATTTCATTGATGGAGGATCCTCCACTGGCTGATTCTCAACAGTACTGGCCGGCTCCACTTGTGCAACTACTCACCCAGAATCAGAAAAAAAATAAGCATAAATCTCAAAACCCTAACATCCAAAATAATCAATTACACACTAATTCACTCCTAACACCACAACAAAACAAAAACAGCAATGTTGCATCAATCAAGATACGGCATCGACCACAAATTTCATACAACCCAAAGTGAATTGTAATGTAAATATGAATGGAACGGGAAAGAAAAATAAAAACACCTTCCATGGGCTGAGGACCCTCGACTAAATCCGAATGCGGCACGAGCATCTCCTCGTCCTCTTGCTGCGAAATCGAAACTCGCAGGAATCAGAGCAAAATCAAAACCCTAAACATCACATTCTAAAGCACGAAAAGAATATGATCCCACATAATTCACGTCAATTCAACAATTTCCGATCAGAAACCAAAACCTCAGGCGATCACAGAACAACTCAAAGCATCAAGAGATAGAATCAAAGCAAGAAAAGAGATACGCAGATAACATCTATATACGCATGGAAATAATAAGAGGAAGAGAAGCGGTCTGTACATCCAACGGCGGATTCGTCATAATAGTCATGGGTGGAGGTACGGTGAAAGTCCGATCGGGTAATCGGAAAATCGACGCCGGAGACGGCGAAATTGACAGTCAATTGGGGGATAGATGAGAAGAAGCGGGGAGTAGAGGAAGAAACTGAGAAGTTGGAACAGAGGAAAGACCATTGAGTTTTACGGAGCGAGGGTAAGAGTGTAATTCGAGCGAAAGTGTTGGGGTAGTTTGGGAAGGACCTGGGGACGCGGGATGGAGTTGAAGTAGCAAATGAAATGGTGACACGTAGGAAGAGAGGTACGGAGAAGGATGTGACGTGGCAACTCGAAAGAGTCACGTGCGTTTGGAGAGGTGGGTGGGCGACGCGACACTGTCTGTTCTGAATCGCTGATCTATTTGCCTAGTGGTAGTACACTAGGACATTTATATTACTGTATATATATAATTAAAAAAATCTTAATTTATATTTAAAAATTAAAATTTTAATTTAAAATTTTAAAATTAAATTTATTTTTAAATTTAAATATATTAATATTTAATAAAATAAATTTTTAAATTTTAAATTAAAATTTAATTAAATAAAATGATATAATTTAAAGTTAAAATTTTAATTTTTTTAATCGAAACTAATATGTATTTTTTTATATTTATATATAAGTTTTAATTACTATATTTATATAAAATTTTTATTTTTTATTTTTAATAATAAAATTTTATTTATTTTTTATTATATTTATTAAAAATAATTATTTTTATTTAAAAAATCATCATAAATCTTAATTATTAATTATTAAAAGAGAAAGAACTAAATAATCGAACTTTTAATCAACCCCTTGTAGGGACGTACTTAAGATTAGAAAACTTAGAATCAAATCCTAAATCTCCATTTCCTTTCCCGAGAAAAGATTCCACACTGTTCAAAAATAATAATAATAATCAAACTTTTATGTAAATAAATATATAAAATTTATGTATAAATGTATAAATAGATTTTTCTTATATATATATCCATTTTTTTTTTGTACATATATGTCTTTTTCTAATATGTTACAATACTAGTAAATAACATCATGTTTTTTGAGAATGATATTTATTTTATAAATGCAGCTCCTTTTTTTATTTTGATTAAGAGTATTTAAATATTTTTACGACATAAATTGCATGTAATCTAAATTGAAAAATACATTTCATCGCTTCACATTTAGTCTTCATTAGTTGGAGTTTTTTATAAATCCTTTTCACACAACATTTTATTTAAAAATTTAAAATTTTAATTTCAAATTATTTTTTATATATTTTTATTAATTTTAGTTAAAATTTTATATACTTTTAAATGATAAAAAGATAAAAGAAAAAAAACCTTACTAGTACAATACAAGGGCAACACAATAAAACACAACTTAATTAAGTGTTAATTAAGGAGTTTTTTCCCTGTTAATCATTAACTTTGTATGGTTTAAACTATATAAAATGATTATGTTATTTTTATTTATAAACTAATCTTATTCTTAGATATTTAAAAGTTAAAACTTTAATTAATCAAAAATAAAATTATTTATAATTAAATGAGTCCCATACAATGCTTTTATATTCTTTTGTCATCCAAATTTATTATTGGCTCTAAACTCTTGACCTTAACCTTAAATTAATTAATTATCATCCAACAAAAATTTAGTTTGTATGTACCACTAATTTATGTGTAATAGATGCCAACAAACTTCAGTAATTTATTAATGATAATTTTCTTACAATAAAAATAAAAAATTATGAGTTCAACTCATATAATATATAAGTAAGATAAGTTAAAAAAATAAGAGATTTATATTTTATTATATAATTTAAAATAAATAAATAAAAATTCATATGTAATATATATGTATATTAATTTTTAACAACTTATCAAATTACTCATTTGAAATGCTTAACTTAATTTCCATTAGGACGTTAGGATTAACTTTTTTTGTTATTTTAAACCTTAGTAATAAAATGTAACTCTCTTACATTTCTCTATCTTTATAAGTTGAATGGTTCAAATTCAAAGTTCTTCACTTTAGGTTTCAAATAAAGAAACTAATTCTTAAAGTTTTTAAGTTGTTAGCAACTTTTTTATTCTTCCACAACTTTCTACTAGCCATTGGGAATTTATATGCTTATAGAATTATTAAGTTGTTGGTAGCTTTTTGACTCTCCCACAACTCTATGCCAGCAATTTGAACTTCATATGTATTTGTACATGCATGCAAGACACGTTTCAAACATGTCTTTCCATGTGTCACTTAGACTTCCCAACACAATCAACAAACGCAAACACAAAAAGATGGATTAATTGGAAAAGAAAAAAGAAAAGGTAGAGGAGAGTCAAAAAGGAACAGCCATAGTTGAAGAAGATGAGAGTTATGGTGGCCATTGACGACAGTGAAGAGAGTTTCTATGCGCTCAATTGGGCTCTTGATAACCTCTTCCGCGATATGGATGCACCACCTGAGGCAAGTGGCGGTGGCGGCGGCAGCGAGGTGGTGCCGCCCACGCTCCTTCTGGCTAATGTTCAGCAAGCCTTGCAGCATTATGGCGTCCCTATTGGGCCTGTCGGCGGTGCAGGTCAGTCTGTTTAATTATATGGATTCTAGGCCTTAATTACCGATGTATCTAGGGTGGTTTCTGGAAACCCAACCCACTAGATTTGGGCTTTTTTTTTTTTTTACGGGTTTGGATCATGCCATTAATTATTTTGAAATAAAAAATAAAATAAATATATAGGATAAAAAAAATTCGCTAGAGGAAGGGCTTGAACCTTCGACCTTGTGGTTAACAGCCACACGCTCTAACCAACTGAGCTACTCCAGCAGGTCTGCTACGGCGATAAAGTTTTTTTTTTTCTTTGGTGAAAAGTACGGCGATAAAGTTACCCATTTATATTGTGAGTTAAAATAAACTTAGAGTATACTACCTTTTTTGTTCCAGTGTAATTTACACTAAGATAATAATCCTTTATACAAATAGTATTTTGTCAAATCAGCTATTAGGTTTAATGTTTTATTAGGGTAGGTCATTCATGTCAAATTTTAAATTTTTTTTTGGTACATAAATTTTAAATTCATTAGATATGTTAATTAATTCATGATTACACTTAATTTTAAACAATTAAATAAAATAATAAAAAAAACAAAGTTTTTTGTTCATTTAATTTAATACGTATAATCTATATAAAACGAGCATAAAATCCAACGATTGGTTTAGCAAAATATAAACAGTACGAAAATTATTGAGTGGTATAAGATGCATTAGTATAAGTTTATTTTTTTTTATCTTGGTTGTACAATAAGAGAAAATCATCTCGCATCTCTTATTTTATTTCATCTATGTGTTATGTGATTTGAATTTAAAATTTTTTACTTTCAATCAAAAAAGACGACCACTGAATTATTTAAATTATTGAGTTTATTCTAATTTGATATTGTTTAATTAAATTTGACAGTGTGTAATTCGCTTATTTCTCCTTGGCAGCATTTTACCCGACAGTCACGGTAACGGAGTCTGTAAAGAAAGCCCAAGAGCAAATTTCTGCAACAATTCTCTCTCGTGCATTGCAAATGTGCAAGGATAAGATGGTAAGCCCAAAAAGAAA